CTGTTATCAACTGCTGTCGCAATCACTGAACGTTATACTTCTTCATACTGATAATATATATTTTTATTTTTCAATTAGCACGTTCTACGCGGAGTGAATTTTTCTTTAATTTTTCATTTTTTTTTTTTTGGACTCGTTTGACAATCAAAATCGTTCAGTCCCATCGTATACCGGCTTACCTAGACGTTGTGAAAACGTGTGAACCTACCTTTAGGTTATCTCTTTCGTTTGCTAGACGACTCATGCTAGAACGAAAGGTCTGGGTCAACAACCGATGCTAATTTCTGCACAGCCCGAGAACTGCGTGCGTTCGCCTTAAGCCTTTCCTATCTCTTCGTTGCCTTCTCGATAGTTCTAGAAAGTCTCTCGGCCGACCCGTTATGCACGTCGATCGTCGATTTCGATAGACGCGGTTTCGTTGATCTCTGTTTTGGTCGAATATTTGGGGGGGGGGGGAAGTGGGAGGATGTAAACCTTTTCGAAGTTATTTATTTTTTATATTTCACTCTTCGCTAACAACTTCAAGGAATACTGTCTCTCACTTTATACTTCAAATTGACACTTCACATTTACACAGGTGTAAATATTTCAGTCGCATACCCTCGTATCTTTTTTTTCTCTCTCTTTTTTTCTTTGTTTTATTACCGATGACGTCTTCTCTGGATATTTATCGTTGAGATTGTACCCGCGAGTTAGTGGTTCGTGGAAAATTTTTTCTCTCTTTCGAAAATTCAAATTTTTCCATAACTTCAGTAATACCTGTCTCTCGAAATTAACCGATAAATTCGCGTTCGCACGTTGCTATTAGGCGCTGCCGCCTTAAAGCAGGAAAAATAACGATAACGAGGAATCACTTTTTAATATTAAAATCATATATTGCCTTTATAGAACCAGTTGCGTTAATCTAGTCGTATACGCATCATTCGGTATAACGGTTTATGTTCGATTGCATAATTAGATTCCTATATGTAAACACGTTGGACATAAATTTTTTTTAGGTTATGTTATTGCCCTCTTGTTATTTTTTTTTTTTTTTTCTTCCATTTTCCTTCCATTCAATTTTTCCTCTATGTGACGTCACTCACGCGTTATTTTATATCCCGGTATAATCTTCATCGCGAGACCGATAAAAAATTTTGGCGTCATGGGACTTTTTCTCAGCGAACGACTCACGAGGAAAAATTATGGCCGGTAGTTAAGAAAGTTTCCATAAGTGAATTAAAATAATTAACGTCTAGACCAAATAATGAGGTTTCATCATTAAAACTCATAAACACTGTTACATCGTATTTGCCGAAGCATTAATCACCGATAGCAGATTTATCCGTTGGGTTCATAAATAAAAACTGGTATACGGTGTGTTTATAGAGTGATAACAATTTTTCTTTTATTTTTCATTGCAGTGTATCCTGCTTGGGGTCCGCACGATTCACGTGATGCTGCGCTACGCCATTCATCTGTACGATACGCGCGGAGCCGCCGGAAATACGTCACCGAGATCCTGGGACAAACGCGGACCACTCGCTTATTACACGGAACTTACGTCAGAACTGACTGTACTGGCTGTCGATTTTCTTCATCACATTCATATGCTGCTCTGGAGCAATATTTTTCTCAGTATGGCCTCCCTCGTGATCTGCATGCAGCTGCGGTATCTCTTTCACGAGATACAACGGAGAATTACAAAGCATAGGAATTATTTGGCGGTCCTCAGTCACATGAAGCAAAAGTGAGTAAACGGAGATATGAAATTATGTGCGAGCAAGACAAAGAAGGATTTTGACTGAGTAATGGGTGCTGGACCGCCATTTTGTTTCAATTGGTTGCTTTTTTAAAATGCGTTTCGTTTAAATTGTCACAGTTACCCAATGGCGTCACGGGACGAACTTGCTGAGAATTCCGACAACTGCGCCATCTGCTGGGAGAAAATGGAAAGCGCCCGAAAGCTTCCGTGCGGCCATCTTTTTCATAACTCTTGCTTGCAGTCCTGGCTGGAGCAGGACACCTCGTGTCCTACCTGTCGACTCACTCTTAGCATGCAGGCTAATCATAGGGACAGTCCACTGGAATTGGCGGTTGTGTCACAAACGCCAGTGCGCAGAAATGAGAATCATTTCTTTCATTTTGACGGCTCCCGTTATGTGTCTTGGTTACCGAGCTTCTCCGTCGAGGTCACGCACAGTAGGCTTCGCGGTGATATATTGGCCTTGGCGCACAGTAATTCGCAATTGGACGCCATGGCGAGACAGGTGAGAAAAATTATTTCGATTGTGACCGAAACTTCGTCTATGGACGTAGTGACGTGACTCGGTTCCTTGTTGAATGTTGTGAATGTAACTTTCTTAAAGTTCATATTTCCTCTCTGTCTTTCTAGGTTGAGCAATTATTTCCGCATTATCCGAAAAACATCATCCTCGAGGATCTCCGAGTAACAAGATCGGTCGAATTGACAATCGAGAATATTCTTGATGGCAGACTGATCTTGCCTCATCACATGATGGAGGAACCGGAAACTGAACCAGTTGCGCAGACGCAAACAACCGTTTTACCGGGTTCTTTTGCGCAGAATTCTTGGGATCCAAGATTCGACATTCCCGCTGCTGACAGGTATAATATTTTATCGGTGAAAGTTTTGGCATGACGATTTTTGTATTTTTATGGTCTTAAAGTTAATTTATTTTTTTTTCTTTTCCTCTTTAACGTTCACAGTGGGGAGGAACCGTCGAATCTCGGTGGTCGTTTTTCGAAATCATCAATCGAACGAGAATTAATTTTGCAACGTCGAAAGGAACACATGCTTCTCAGTGCACGTCGAAGGTATCTTGAGAAGCACAGAAACTCCGAGTCAGAAACGAGAAATGCAAATGGCAACTTATCATAGAGAGCGTTCTGCATCGATCCGTGATTATTGGAGTAAACGAAATTCGAGGCTTTCAATGGCTTTTAAATATCATGAAACATGTTGAGTATCGTGACGCGGAAATGAGCGTAATGAAGATTTTTCGTGCGATGCGTCAGAAACGATGCCATCATGTCGACCGCTGTGCGAATTTTTTGCACAAGTTAAACGACAGATAGACAGAGAGAGTAAGAAAGAAAAAAAGGGTGAGAGAGAGAGAGAGAGAGAGAGAGAATAAGAGACAGATGTTCAGAAAATTTTTTTTTTTCATTTTCAAAATTAATTACAACTGATTTCTTTCAACTAGAGAGTAAGAAAGAAAAAAAGGGTGACAGAAACGATGCCATCATGTCGACCGCTGTGCGAATTTTTTGCACAAGTTAAACGACAGATAGACAGAGAGAGTAAGAAAGAAAAAAAGGGTGAGAGAGAGAGAGAGAGAGAGAGAGAATAAGAGACAGATGTTCAGAAAATTTTTTTTTTTCATTTTCAAAATTAATTACAACTGATTTCTTTCAACTCACTGAGATCCACTGTACAACAATATTAACACTAGCTCGAGAATTTTCGAGAATTGCAACAACTTGAAACTTTTCACAATTTTTGACGCGAAGCTTTCATATTCACATCCCAGAAGCGGCTATTGACGTTGGAAGATTTCCTGCTGGCACCATCCAAGAGTGATACCGTCATTATGTTAGGTGATTAAAATAATATTGATGACGTCACTAGATCGAAGAGGTGAGGAAGCAGAAGAAATTGTTAAAATAAGCCACCGTGTAAATTTAATCAGTGGCTAATTTTTTTTACGCAAAGTTTTACTTAAACAATCTCTAACGCACTGTTTCAGGATGCGTGCGCATATAAGGCGACACTTTTATCAGAGAAATTTTTAAGCGTCGAACAGAATGCAGAGATAAGGACAGTCTATTAAAGTCATTATTACGTATAAATCACTGTACCAAGTCCGAGACAGAATGTTATTTTTAAGCGTAAAATTTCCCAATAAAGTGGGTACGCGAAATCGTTCTTATCGCACTCTCACGATAAAGTGTCAAGTAACGCGCTTATTGAACCTCTGCTAATAATTAGGTCATGCACGGCGAATAAACTGCAATGCTTTTTCGGTAGCTTTCCTTCTTAAGAGGCGTTTTAAAATGATTTTGCGAATTTGGCGTCAGTGTCGCATTCGAAAGCAGCGGTTTGTCGCTGTAGTTGCAGCAGAGATGCGATGTGTGTGACGTAATCATTTTTACAAAATGAAGGTGGCGCAAGGTAGAAATATATTTACACACATATGTTTCATATCCGAATATATATAAAAATAGATAAAATATTTTTATTCCTTCTACGCTTCGGTGTCTAATTAAATAGTGAATTAATTGTTGGTCTCTGAATGTGATCCCGAGCCGTTGTTGTTACATGTTCTTATGGCTGCTGTTCGCGCTAATAATTTTCGGTGTTAACTCGATATACACCTTTGCGTTATTATTTTGGCGGGAAAAAAATTTGCATTATAAAAATACATGTGTAATGATTCTCTAGCTTGTGACGTCACTGCAGTACGCACGTAGCTCCACGCTACGAGTATCGTCGAAAAAAGTCATATTAGATTTTTATTTTATTTTATTTTTTTTCAGAATTTTCGTCGGATTCGTCTTGTCGGTAGAAAATCAGTTTATCTACATTTTGAGGTTATCACGATCAACGAAGAAACATTGTGGACAAATAATTTGATATGACGACGCTAATGTATATCAACAAATTAGAAACGCGCGCGATCCTTTAGATAGGAGCCATTTTGTCACTTGTACTAGTTTTGATTTTGAAATGCGGTTAAGCATGCTTTCTGAAGATGAGACGAACGCGAAATGTATTTCGAAAAGATTATTGGCGAACGAAGGAGAGAGTAATTTGATTAAGAGCCCTTTATCCCTCTGACGTCATCGCTTGTTCCACAGCAGCCTTAAGGAGGCAATGTTGGTCGTAAGTGGATTGAAGAACGTTCAGCCCCGCCTTTACGTGTTACGATGTGTCAGTTTAAAATGCTGTGCATAGACATTTCAACGATAAACGTGGCGAAATTATATAAGTAAATGTGCGTCTCGCGCGAATTGTTCTTTTTTTTTTTTGTTTTTGGACCAATTCCGGAACTCTAGTTCCATTGTGCCAACTTGAGATTACCGAAATTTCGACTTTATTTTTCACTTAACAAGACGCGCAGTCGCGAATTCATAGCGATTACGAATTTCCACGAATTGTCAAATTTATTCGACAACGTTGTAGACGCGAAATCCTTTCTCGAAGTAATGCAATGAGATTGTGCGACAATTTGCTCAAGAAATATTAGCAAGAGTCTCTAATCTTATAGCTAGCGTCGTAGACTCCATTAATTTATGAAACGTCAGAATAATTATTTATTTATTCAATTTTTTTTTCCAATTAACAGCGACAATGTTTTAAGTTTTCTTTTTTTTTTCCCCACGAGTCAACGCGAATGGTTGATAAAAACTTTTTGCACAGAGCAAAAGCATATCGGCTGTATGTGTGGTAGCAGTAGTTGGAAATGCGTGAATTGTATAACAGATACGTGTGCATACATAATTGACTGTTTTACGTCAGTGTGAATGCGACTTTCGCCGAACAGAATTGTTAATATTGTATTGAGAAAGAAAAGTATGTATCTGTAGTGTCTGACGGTTGTATGGTACGAGCTCGAAAGGTTGTACGCTATTTTATTTTTTTTTTCAAAAATCTTTGAAGATTCTAGTATAAGCGTTGTACAGTCATAAACAGACGACTGAAGAATCGATCATTTATTTATACTATTGTAAATGTTAACTCGGGCGATGTACTTGAAAGTTTAACGGTGACTCGGATTGTCATCGAATTGCGAAAAAAAAAGCCGAGGGAGCCACTTTCGCAAAGAGCGAATCTTCAGTGTTAAATATAGCTTCGATTTATAACCGCTTTTAGACAGAATATTTGGATTCTACTAAAAGAAAAAGAGAGGAAGAAACGCATGGGAATTCTTCTTATGGACGAGAAGAGAGGAAAAGAAAACTTATTATATCCATTGATAACCTTCGTATAAATCTTTTCCAGATTTATCGCTTACTATTTATTATTTGTTCGTTATTAAAGAAAAATGTCGAGGCGTAAATTCATATATCTTTCTTCCTTGCTTTCTTGTGATATAATATCGACTTGCATACATACACACTCGACACATGACACATATTCGTAAGCCCATACTCGCGTAGGACATTCATTTATTTACATATATGCACGCGAATGTTAACATTGTGTATAATATCATATATTCATCCCTAACCAGCTTTGTATTAACTCGGAACATATTAACTCAAAAAACAATACGAAAGATTGTTTCCAGCGATCGCAGACGCTTGCCATTCTCTGATCGCTTTTTCTTTCTACTATTACTGTTATTAATAAATCAACCTATTTATTTTGTAGAAGTTTAAGCTGGCAGTCGTGTACGAATGAAACAATGAAAATAATTGTTTTTAACGTATCTGCAGGGTTTTTTTTATTGTTCGAGGATATTTGAGATTTTTTTTTAAAATATGGCACTTGTTTTAAGTTATTACTCGCGATCGCGTTTACATATCGAAATGATTTTATTTTTGTTTCTTGTATTAGTGATTATATTTTCAGTTGAATAGATGGATAATTTAAGTAATCTAGCGACGTACAGTACAGCAGAGTGATTAAAGATAAAAATTATTTTAGTTAAACATACTTGAGATGGTTCTTTTTTTTATTTTTCAAATGATTTTAAAACTAATTTATGTGATTGTCCTGTGAGGTTTCTTATAATATACAGTATATCACCAGGCGCTACTGGTGTCTGCTGAATTATACTTTGAAATTCTACATTTGCATCGTTTGAATGTATGTCGATCCGCTCCATTATACGTTGTAAATATGGTATACGTATGAAATAAGAAACTGCTATTAACCGTTATCGCAAAATGACCTGTCATTTGTTTAGGGTTGTACGAAGACTAAGACAAATAAACTATATTATAGATTATCGTAACAGGATTCCTGTCTTAACATTCATACTTGATCCCTGAAACACAATGTCCATGTTATTCTTTATTGTTACGTTATGTTGATTGATTATTAAATATGTTTGCTTAATCTAACAAGTTCAATTGAGTGTACCAGCTAGGAATGAGAGGTAGATTTGTTTGAAGAATGGATATGCGAAGTAGTTTTGAAAGAAAATGTATAAAGTTTTCTATTACACTGGTTTAAATATATTTGTCAAGATGTTTTAATGTCAAAGCATTGTTACCATGGAATATTGTAGAACTTTATATCAATTTCGATCAATGGAAACTCTTAAACAGTTGTTTCATTTAGAATAAGAGCAAAGTGATGATCGAATTCAGGTATGATTTATTGCAAATAAAGAAACATAGGTCGTGTTATTATAAGCTCTTAACTTCATTAGGCATACTTCCTATCCAATGAAGTTCATGACAACAATATGTAGAATAATGTGAGCAAATATAAAGTCAGCGAATCCTCTCTCAGGACTTATTCCATAAAACTGACTTTTGTTCTGTGGGTTTACTTGTAGTCGAAGGCAAACTGAAACAAAAATAACATTCGTTATAAACTGACGATTCATCACAATAACGACAATGATAACTACTATAGAGATTAAGAAACTGACATTTACTCCCCAGAGCAGAGTGATATAATTTATATTACAAATTAACATGATTTTTGTAAATGGCATAAATTAATACAAGTCGTCACTTAAAATCTCAATAATTGAGACATTTTTTTGTATATTTTACTTCTAATAAAATACGTAAAGCAAGTTCTAAAATACCTCCAAGAACGAAACAAGATATGCAGGATATAAATCCACTCAAAAAGCTGTTGAATGGAAAAGTGCCAACAAGACAGCAGTACTCAAATTGTATGACTCCTGTCAAGAAGACGTATAGAAGGTAGGCATCGATGATCTTAAGTTTCTTCGGCGTGCTTTTCGTATATTCTTGCCAGAATTTACCCACGACGTTTAACGCAGACATTTTTTTTCGAATTTTATATCTGCACAGAATACTTATTACAAATAACTGGTATACTACAAAACTTAACCTGACGCGTGGCAACTTACCGGTGACATAAACGGCACTGGCTACGCAGAATCTCTCTCTTTTATGAATACTCGGCTTTAGTTCCTTATTAGGAACAACTACCAGTGGCTACGCAGACTGTAGAAAGTCATCAAACCGTCGAGGCGATCTGAGGTAAGTAGGGAGGTGCACAACACTACGGTTTTAGGAGATACCAATATCATTGCGATAAATCGTAGCGGCGAGCCTAGAATAGGATATTGTGATCATCACCTCCGTTGACAAAGCATATCCAGTCGTAGCCGAGCTAAACGTGAACACGAACGTGTAGCTTGGCGGGCAGAGGTTCTCCGCTACTCACCGTTGGTTCCCAAAGCAACCCTTAGAACGAGACCGGGAACGATAGAACTTCTAAAGAACTATTGAAAAAGCCTATTGTTGAAAGATTTTTAAGACATTATTCAGAAAGTGCAGTGCCAACTTGACACCCGTGTAGCATCTCAACTTTTACTAAACATTATTGGATACTGATTTCCTTTCAAAATCTATTCAAAATATAAAATCGAGGCTAAACCAAAATCTGGCAGAATATACGGAGTAGATAAAAATTGAATTGAAATTGTAGAATATCGAAAATAAATTACATTCAAATTGAAATATTAATAAATTAGGTGTTAGGAACATTAAAATAATTAATTAAATCAATAGGGTAAAATATTAACACCTAGAAATCGGAAATTTTGGCCAAGCATATTTAGGAGTACTGGAAGTTTCCCAAAATTGTGTGCGCGCAAATTCGTCGCGCAGGACTCAGCGAGTGGGAGCAGGCGGACGGTGGGGGCAGCGCTCGAGGCAGTGCCCAGACTCGGCGCTCATTCTTCCTCGAGCCGGTCTCCTATACTGGTCTCTTGGAACCACCCCCATATCCATTTCGAACCTTCTTCTATTTTTATATTTATTTCTTCTTTACTTCCTTATTTCTTTATCTTTCATTTTTTACTTTCTTATTTATCCGTTTCCTCATTTCTTCTCCACTTTTATAACTCTATTCCTTACTTTTCTACTTCTTCACTACTTCATTTCTTTCTTATTATCTTATTGTCACTTCTTTATTTCTATATCCATTTACAACCTTCTTCTTCTTCTATATTTATTTCTTCATTAATTCCTTATTTCTTTATCTTTCTTCATTAATTTCTCATTTCTTTTCGACTTTTACACCTCTATTCCTTACTTTTCTACTTTTTCACTTTTTTATTTCTATCTTCATTTCTTTCTTCTCGTTTCCCTTTGTTCCCTCTCACTTTTCATTGTATTTGTCTTACTTTTCCTATTTCCTTTGTCGGGTCGAGCATATTAATTCGAGTAGTCATATAAGAGTAGTCATCCGGTTAGTGCAGCTAGACTTAAGACCATGGTGTCGGGGGTTGCCCTTCCGCCTCTTCCGCTGAGCTTGCTCAGTGGTTGGTGGCCCAAGTTGTGGCCGCAACAGGACCTTATGGGTCTCCCGACGGGGGCCTTGAGCCCCCTTAGGGTATCTACGGCCATGGTCTTTCGTATAGTGAATCTAGCCAGGTGTCTAGCTCTCGCGTATTTAGTATAATTTGTTCGCTTTGCTAAAAACG